TCGGGGAGGCGCTTGTGGCTTCGGACCAGGAAACGAGGGGCCGGAGCAATGATGGCTTTCCAAACGGCCCCCGCGAGCGTTCTACCTTCCCCTGTCCGGTGCCCTTAAGACTCAAACTAGCGGGTTTATTGGCCGTGGTGGCCAAATGCCCCATCCAGCGAAATACACTAGTGGCTAAGGACTCCCAGTAAAGGGCAGCCTCGTGAGGGCCTCGAAGACCAGCCCCTTGTAAATTTGGGGGGCACAGGTTAGTTACCATTCTGGGACTTTTAACTCCTTGTATCTTTTGGCCTTTGTATTATTATTAGTGTCCCCTCAACAGTTAAGCAAATAGAAGTTAAGGTATATACAAGTCCACATTTTCGCATCTTGTGTAAGTTTAATGCTAGAGGTTATTTTTTTAAAATTTCAGTAGTGTAGGTTTCCTGTTGATTTGGAGAAGCATCTGCGATCTTGGTTTAAAACCATATGTATTTTTGGTAGTGTCATGTAAATGCCTCTTAAGGAGCAGAGCTTGTAGCATTTTGTCTTGAGGTGGGTCGTGGGAGGGTTATGAATGTAGTATGTCCCCACACTTGTGCGTATTTATCAGTGTCCAGAACACAAATCAGATAGGCTTGTCCTACCTGAAATCAGTGGGGATACTACGGATACCTGTGTATTTTCTTAGTTCTTGACAGTTATTTTATCTATGTATGTACGTATTGCGGTACCAGGGATTGAACCTAGGGCACTCCGCCACTTAGTTACATTGCCAACCTTTGAGACAGGATCTATCTAAATTACTGAGATTGACCTCAGACTTTCGACTCTTGGGCCTTGGCCTTCAAAGTAACTGTGATTACAGGCATTCACCCCCTCAACCGCTGTTCTTGATGGCTTTTAAGTGCTTGTCCCCAAAATCATTATTTTAGCAGTGTTTCTGATAGAAATTTCCAAACTGGAACATAAATGTCATGCCTGTGAAAATAACTTTTTCATCATTCACATAGAAGCACTTAAAATGTTTTAAAATAAGAACAATACCATTTGTTCAAATGGTAGTAATGTTAGCTAACATTTATTTCATGTTTACCATGTCTCAGCCTCTTCAGGTAATATCATTACTGTTCCAGGGATGAGAAAAAGGACTGTAAGAACCATACATTTGGGAAGTTCAAGGACATAGGTTTAATCTCAAGTTGTTTTTTTTTAATATATATTTATTTTTTAGTTGTAGGTGGACACAATACCTTTATTTTATTTTTATGTGGTGCTGAGGATGGAACCCAGTGTCCCATATTTGCCAGGCAAGCACTCTACCTCTGAGCCACTCTAAATTATCCAGAGCCAGAAAGGTAGAAAGGACATGCAGAGCAGAGGAGTAGAGAAGGAGGGCACTACTGGTGAATAGGCTGCCCATACTTAAGAATTGAACATTAAGTCTATTTTTGGTTTTTAGAAATTAAGAACATTTTCACACAAGTACATCTAAGGTCTTTATATTTCTTCCATTTGAGTTTTATAAAGATAAAAAAATGCAATTTAGTTCAGGGTTCAAGTCATCACCCAACCAACTGAAGGTTCAGATTAAATTGTCATTGCTCAGAGAAGCTTTTCTTCGAGACCTCATCCCACAACTACCATCCACCCTCAGGTCTCTCAGAGCTCCTATTCATTTTTCATAGCTCTCACTGCAATTTTTGATTCAGGACCATGTCTATTTTTGCCATATCTGCAGAGCCTGTAAGAGTTTGGGCATAGAGCAGACTCCCAGAAAATATTTATTGATTATGTTGTAAGTTGGGCTTTTGCTTTTATTGTTTATTATACTGTCATTTCTGGTAGTGTTGCCTACCTCCTCTTGGCGTTCTCTGGGACTTCCCACTGTTGGAAGTCTTACCATATAGAGATATATCTATAATTGCTGAAGAGGACACTCGTTCTGTTCTCTGACTTGTACTTCTGCCTGGGCACCCTTATTATTAAGCTAAACTAGGTTTAACCTAAACTATGCTGGGCTTGCTAACTCGTATGAGTGTTGCATCTTGATTATCCAGGCTGGGCTCAGCACTTGCACCTGTTATTCTTCCCTAGTCTCAAACTACTCTTTTTCTTTTTTTTTTTTTTTTTTT